CATTAGCTTGTGTCAGAATAACAAAATTACATTTATTCTTTATTTCCTGTCTAGCAATATTTGTTATTCCTAATTCTCAGATTCTTTCATAACATTTTATGCCAGGCCATATGGAAATTCTGACTATATTAGAACAAGGAGCTCTCCATTATCTTTTATAATGTTGACACACTCAGATGATGGTATGTGCTGGACTGGTTTTGTATCTGTGAATTGCTAACTCACAAAAAATGAAACGCTCTGAAAAGTAGAAGGTTTCAAGAAGCTTCTTCCATAAACAAGCTTCCAGTAAAGCTTCTCATACATGCTACTTTGTATTTGCGGGCAATAGATTTCATTACACTGGAACAACACTGCCTTTTAGGCACTGGACCACTCCCAGGCTTGGGAACCTCTAATTCATACTCTTTGGTAAAGTTTTGAGACACAGAAGCCTTAGCATGGCAAGCACAGAGACTACTGGGTAGTACAATAAGCTCTCATTGTAGCATTCCAAGTGGAGGTGAGAAAAAGATACGGCACACAGAGAAATACCTCGTGTTAAAACAAGGTTCCTAGAGGAAATTAAAATGCTAGCAAACTGGTATATATCACCAAATACAGAGGTGAAGTTACATGTACAAAAACCACCCCACCTCCAAATGCATGGCTTTTTAGAGTAAAAATACCAAACAAGAAGGACTTGTTTGGAGGAAAGAAACATGGGGTGACTCTTCCGTAACTTCTCGCTAGAAGTGTCTATTTGCCCCTGATGTTTTTGTCTGGTCATAACTGTGACTGGGGTGGTTCTGTTCTGCTTTCATTGACTGTGAAGATGGTTGTTTCTAGAGGAATTACCTGAGAACTCTCACCTTTTTCATAGCTCCTAACAAAATTTACGTAACAAAGGATACTACTACTGGTCTTCACAGTTTGTTTCTATTGCCCTTTTCATGGCCAGTAGAGCAAAAGCTAAAGCCAGACTGGCACAGCTCTGTGGCTGAGGCATTCAGACAGACAGCAGAGAGAACAACATTGCTATACTTCTGCTGCTAACATGCTTCTGTTTGTTGGTTGGCATCAAGAAGACCAGTAAGACTGGAGCCTGGTAAATCACCACAGAAATAAAGTTCATAGAGAAGAAGTGTCTCAGGGAAAGGACGTGACTTTTTCTCAGAATGTTTTGCTGGAGTCAATGGAACAACATGACTCCTATGGGCTCTAAGGCACACATCAGGTTAGCAGAAGTTGTAAATCAGCAAAATCAATAAAATTCTGGGTATGGAATAAGTCCAGCACAGACTGAAAGTTGTTACACATAGTCATGTAGCCTAACTGTGAGGTTTTTTATTTCACAGAATCACAAAATATTCTAAGTTGGAAGGGACCCACAAGGATCATTTAGTCCAACTCTTACGTGAATGGCCCATACAGTGATTGAACCTGCGACCTTGGTGGTATGATCCTCTCAGTTAATCTTCACTGCTTCAAGTTAATCTTCAAGTTTCTCATCCTTAAGGGGACTCCTATCAACTGCTTCTTAAATAAAAGCAATATAACTGAGAACAAATTAAATGTTTTACCATCTCTCACAGTCATATAAATTCTTAATCTAGTGTCACACCATCTATGAGAGGTAAGTAGATACCAGAGCTCCACTTTAAGGAACATGAGAGTTGTAAGAGTTTAAAAATTCCTGCAAGTTGAAATACATGTGTAAGTAAATAGAATATGGTCTTCACTGTAATTCATTTGATTGTAATAGGAAAGAGTAAACTTTTTTTGGAAAAAAGTCAGTTAGGAAACAAGGGAAAGTATTTCAACACAAGACTCATTCGATTGCTTAGCACATTGGAAAGGAAAAAAGGAAAAGGAAAAGGAAAAGGAAAAGGAAAAGGAAAAGGAAAAGGAAAAGGAAAAGGAAAAGAAAAGGAAAAGGAAAAGGAAAAGGAAAAGGAAAAGGAAAAGGAAAAGGAAAAGGAAAAGGAAAAGGAAAAGGAAAAGGAAAAGGAAAAGGAAAAGGAAAAGGAAAAGGAAAAGGAAAAGGAAAAGGAAGGTGAGGCAAAGAAAGGCAAGGCAAGGCAAGGTTCTTTTAGTTTCCTCTAAGTTGCATTAATTTATGTTAAAAATCTTCTACAGCATGTTTTCACTGAGATAAATGTCTGACACAAGACATGCTAGAAACAGTGATTTCAAGAAAGAGCTCAGTGTTAATGCTATTTGGAATTAACCTCTTATTTTCATGATGTAATATGATTAAAACATAAAACTAAGTTCAATGCCAGAAATGTGTTAACTGCTGTTTTGTGTCTCTGGCTGTGCTGAGTTCAAATGCACTACTTAGAGTATAAATCTCTTCTTTGAGAATAATGATTAAGGGGTTTTTTTAAAGCTATTTTTTCTTTCCTACTGCTAGGCAGACGGGTTAACTCAGGATGCTTCTGGGCAGGGAAGAGTGGAAGTATTTGCATAGAATAGCATCTGGAATCTACATGTTCTCAAATACTTTGAAGGGGGAAGCTGTTCTTTCCACATTCATTACAGCCTGGTAAGGAAGAGGAGAAAAGAAACAAGGAGGAATAGAAAAGGAACAGGGGACTCCTTTTGTATCTGTGTCCAATATGGTTTCTTTTGATTTTTCATTCTCCATAGTCAAGAGCTCCCCATGGGTTCTCATCTGTTACCCAGGCTTTGCCATACCTGCCTGCCTGTGTGAAAATGGCTCAGCTGCCAGCACTGGATGAGGCTAACAGATCACATCTATCTCTCTGGCATCTACTGAGCACACAGGGCTCTAAGGATCAAGCCCTCGACAAGAGCACAAAAGCAGGTCTGTATAGAAGCAGCCAACCTTCTGCATCATCCGCGGCTCATTGTGTGGACACCGAAGGTCAAAACTCTCCTGCATTCCTGCTTTCCCTGCGCAGTTGTGTCTATGTGTATGTGCATGTGTGCTCCTGTGTGTGCCAGAGGGTGAACAAGAAGGCAGTGCAAGGCTACACCACAGTAGTTTTTTGCTTCCTCATTTTACACAGTAATTCACAGGATGAAACATATTTCAAAAGCACTAGAAATGTACATATGTATACTACATCTAGAAACAGAGATGACTGAGATAGACAGAGACTGAAGTAGAGATATATCCTTGCTAGCCTAAAGTACAGTGATTCTGCACAACAAGTGCAGGTTAAATGGGATTTCATGTTCTGATGAGTAGGTGGTAAGACTGTTTGGCTTTCTGAATTTGCATTCAGAAAGGGAAGGGAAACAATGAAATAAAAAATGTAAACAAATAGAAATCTCTGCTGGGTGAATATGGATCTGTTGTCAGTGAGGGAGATGAGATGAAAAAGATCTAAGAAACTAGAGAAGAAATCCAAAGTAAGCACAAAAAAAAGATTTTTAATTAGAAGGATCAGGGAATGTGTATTTGAAAGGAGAAGGGAAAGTTTTTAGTTCTCTGGAATAGTACCAGCATGGGGAAAAAGAGTAGCAAAACATGAGAATATTTGTTCTGACGGTTCCACTGTTTACATGAGGTCAGAGTTCAGTAAAACGACACATTTGAAATAACCAGTCATCTGTCCCTCTGAGAGTTCATCAGTTGCTCATTTGTAATATTTTTCAAACAACAGCAAATCAGCTAAAATGGAAGAATTAGAGAGAATGAATGTTCAGCACTTCAGAGCCTGAATTTATGCCTGTATGCTTTAATACTACATGGGCATCAGGGTTTCCCCCAGCCCCTACTTTCCTCCCTGGGAAGATTTCATATTTCGTCTTCCATCTGATATCCTAATCAGTCTTTTCTTGCAGTCTCTGTTTTTGTAAGTTATAAGTCTTGTAAGTTTGTAAGTTTTTTAACTCTCTGTTTTCTCTCTAGTCATTATGAGATATGCATCAAGTAGTCCAAGGACTGTTTTCTCAGTTTGGTGTATTTTCTAACCACCCTTGATAATATTGTATTAGCAAAGAACCTCAGAGCTCATATGCATATCCTTTCACTCATCCTCATATCCTTCCTCTTTCCCTCTTCTCTTTTTTCTTTCTTTTTCTTTCTTTCTCCTTTCTCTCTTTCTTTTCTTTTCTTTTCTTTTCTTTTCTTTTCTTTTCTTTTCTTTTCTTTTCTTTTCTTTTCTTTTCTTTTCTTTTCTTTTCTTTTCTTTTCTTTTCTTTTCTTTTCTTTTCTTTTCTTTTCTTTTCTTTTCTTTTCTTTTCTTCTTTTCTTTTCTTTTCTTTTCTTTTCTTTTCTTTTCTTCTTTTCTTTTCTTTTCTTTTCTTTTCTTTTCTTTTTTCCTTTCTTTTTCCTCCCTCTCTGCAACCCCTCCTTTTTCCTTCTTTTCCCACTGTCTCTATAGAGCTTTTCAGTCTCTGTAAAGGAGCAACTGAAGAAAGATTTGCTGTCCCATTCGTTCCGCACTGCCCCCATAAAAAGCAAATATTTTCAGGTTGACTGAAAGTTTAACTTTGTTATTTTTTTTTATTTTTAAAGAAAATCCAGCGTGACATGGCACGCGTTGGTGCTCTTGCCACTTAACAAATTACTTGTTTTTTTGACCTAAGTTAAATGCTGTGCAAATTTCTCTTGTCCATGTTTTCATTGTGTGCAGACTTCACTGATAAAGAATAAAGAGCTAACTTGTTGGGATTTTCTAGGCAAAGCTTCCTTCACTCACAGCAGATTTTTTTCTACTATATCTTTAATGACACGAAAGCCTGGATCCTCAGCTGATGTAAATTGGTCATTGTAGGATTGTCCTCCTCAAAGTTGTGCTGCTTTACACCAGTTGTTACCAGTTGGCCTGGGTATTAAGGCAGGGCTCCAAGGTTCAGCACAGTCTTCTTGACTAATGCTTCATTTCTCTATCCCAGTGATCAAATGTGCTTTACAAAGTAAATCACCACCAAAAGCTTCCTTACAAGCAACCAAAAAGCCAATTGCACAGTTATTGATGAGAAACTCAAAGCTTCATTGTTTTTGCAAACACAAAACCTGATTTGACCTCTTTCACCGGTGAAGCCTAAGGGCTGGTGTTCCCCCAGGCAGCCAGCTGCGCCCGGCTAATCTGCTCTGAGGGCCAGAGCATTGGTGGGTGCAGGCTGCCATCCCTGGCCACGCTGCACTGTGGGTACCAGAGGGACAGAAGGGTCACTGATAGTACCAGCACTGCTCCATAGGTGACTCTGGCTTCAGGACAGAAGCTCGACCAGAGACCCACAGAAACCAAGAGTGCCCTTCATGGTGCAGCTCTTGTTCTTCCCCGTCACCACATAACTTAATTGATGAACTTAAACCAGTCACACACTCAGCCCTGAAGACTGAACTGGCTCAGAACTGGACTCAGCCCCTCCCATCAACCCTCTTTTATTTTCTCGAACATGTCATTTAATTTTTGAAAGAGAGAAATACTGTATAGTTATAAATCCACTCTCTCTCCCTGCATGCCACTGCCTCTGCCCATGATTTAAGGCATTGGGTCAACCTGCCCCACCAGTGCTGGCGGGCGGTCCAGCACAGGGAGCAGAGCTGGGCAGCTCAAGGTGAGGTAAAGTCTCCCTCTGCAATGTAGCAGTGGCATTTCATTATCGACCCCTTGGAGATATCTGTGACAGTCCTTCCCATGAAAGATTGCTGGCCCAACAATGAACCCTTTGTGCCCTCCCATTACTTCTGCAACCCCAGCTTCCACCAAATTTGCACCCTCCTCACAATTTTCCTTCCTCAGGAGAAGGCAAAATGTGAAATAAGTAAGCACCACTTATCTTTCTTAGGAACTGGATTCCTTCAACTGGGAGAAAGCCTGGGACTTTATATAGACTTTTTTGTACTGCAGCATCACAGCAATGTCTCTGCAAAGCTGTTTTGGAATGGATAAATCATCTGTTTGCCTTTTTTTTCTTATCCTCATGTAACTCCTTTTCCAGAGACGTGTGAAAAAATTGTTGCTTTATAACACAAACTGGTCTGATGTCCTGGTTTGGTGCCAGATCATCAGCAGCTGAAATGGCATCTTAGAACAGTGCATCACTCCTTGTTTTTACGAGAAGAGGCAAGGGTTTTTCCAGGGGAAACTTCAAAGCCTGGGCCTATGGGCAGTGAGATTAGCCATGTGATAAGTTCCCTCACCATTCTGAATTAAAATTATTTTTTTTTTGCATGTTGGGGAATAAATTCCATTTATAGCATTTAAAGTCTGCACCCAGTAAATTCAGCTTTGGGCTCCTCAAAGGGGTCTGCAGTCACTGGAGGCAAAACACTGCAGGAATGAGTACTCACCTCAGCAGTAACTCCGGGGTCACTTCTGCTGACCTCTCCCCCAAATCTATGTGCTGTATCCCTCACCATTGTTTTATTTTCCCGGGCCCTTTCTGATCTCAGTCGGGAATGTCAGGAGTCTGCACTGGGAGAGGGGATGGGCTGCAGAGGAGGCTGTCCAAGATGGGTACTATGAGCAGCATTTAGGACTGTCTGGGAACCAATCCTGTGGGTCAGAGGAGGAGAAAAACTGTTGAAGGTGGTTTTGCAATTTTTTCACTCCTTTTCCAACCAGCTGTGGTTGCTCCAAACCCTGTGGTATAACGACACAGGCACTTTATTATCCCAAGAAACTGGATTATCACTTGGGGTAATAATCAGTGCCCTCTTTTCCATAACCAGATAATGAGGTTCAAAGGGGTGGGAGATGGAGTTAACAAAGGATGAAACAGCAGAAGGAGCACATCTGTGCCCTGGCCGTTGAAAAGGAAGCACAAGGAAATTTGGGTTGTTCCTGCTTATCTTTTTCCCCTGGTTGCAGCTGCCTTTGTCAATGCATTATCCCACACTCACACTTACTGAGCAGCAAGAAGAGCCTCAGGGAGCAGTGTGTGTATACAGGCGTGTCTGTATGTGTACACATATGTGAACAGGTTTGATAAGCTCAGACCTTGAGAGACAGCCTTCCTGGGAATTTTGCAGGGTGCAATAGTCTTGGAGAAGGCTCTGCATTTTCACCAGGATAAGCCACATGGAAGGTCACCTCTTCCCCTGGCTTATCCCTACCTGGTTTTCTGCTCATACACTAAAGGCTAGGCTCATACGTGGGGAGATCAGGACTCTGGTCTCAGCAGCTACGGGGATGTACCTATGCCAGCTCCTACCCCCTTTTGTCAAGCTCAGTCAGGCACTACTAGGATTTCAGATGGCAGCTGGGTTTCAGGATTGGCATCACTAGCTTTATGTTCAACTTTAAAATGGCCAAATTAAAAAAAAATAAAATTAAGAAATCAACTCAGTGCATTTCCCTCATCTCAGAAGCAGCTTTTCAGTAGTGAAGCTAACTATGAAAAAGTGAATGGCTACATCAAGGCTTTTTCAGCAGGATTTCAGGGGCTCTGAAATTGCCTGCACCTGCCTGCTCATTTGCACACAGAGTTTCCCTGCATTGCAAAACCAGCACATCCTCCTTAACTAGCCTTTACTTTTCCCTATGAATCTGCATGGCACAATGATGAACAGCTATGGAAACTTCTCACTTGCAGCTTTTCAGAAGAATCTGCCTATTTTAAAGCAAGGATTCATTTTGTTCAGGCAGTTGCTTTTATTCTAAAAGATATTAAACCCTTTTAAAATCTGCAATGCTATGCAGTCTCCACTTACCTATTGCTGCTAAATATAGGAAATAAATAACTACTATAGACAAACAAGTTAGAAATGAGTTTACTCCTTGTCTTTGCTGAAGTCACTCTTCATGTTGCATTGTGAAATCTTTTGTGAAATGATCACTAACCAGTCACTCTTGGGATCCACATTTTGTCTCATCTCATGTGTCACTCATTTTGACTGATCATTTTTACTTTTGTACAGAATTAGCACACTCTTAATTTCAATGACCAAATCAATAAGAAGAAAAGTTGCTTATC